GTGACACCGAGGTGCAATCATCTCTGGGTGTCCAAAACTTGTAGCTGTCCCTGTATCTTTACTGTTCCTCGAATGTCTATTTGTCAAATGCTCGAAATTGACGAATCTCGTGGAATCTGCGAGTCCCTTATCTCGAGTCTGGCTGACTCGTCGGAAATAACTAGAAATCCTCATCGCATGCGGAACGACGATTTATTTCAAGAGAATGAAGTCAGAGCGAACCCCAGCGAAAGGCCACACGGCCAGTGGGGGAGAATGATGAGTATTGTCCATTTCACCTTTTGCTCTAGATATTGAAGACCTCAGTCTGTAACGGCCACTGACCGGTCACCACTTGAGCCGCTCACAGTGTTTTCAGTATGACCCATATTCGGATGCTCTTCTGTGTTCAACCCTTTCCAATGACTCGCTATATATGAAGACAATAAACCTCAGCCAGCCAAAGGGGAGCCCAAGACTGACTCTAGTATTCCGTGTGATCATTCTAGCCGAGGTATCAACGAGATACGAATATCTCTTCGTGGAATGTTGTTTTTAGCGAGTATCTGCCTAACCGCTCTCTTATTTATATGACCAAAAGCTTCATGAGCTTGTTGATTAGTGGGGTTCGATTTCAGAAAGGAAATATCCGCTTCAAGGAAATTGTCATGCTTAAGTATGTGTAGGAGGAAAAGTCCTTCACTGTTCTTTGCTGTGAGAGTCTGCTGTTTTCTTGTCAGCGTCATCTTGTCCTTTGTTGCGGTCACGGACCACCCGGAGCGCGTTGAGGCAGAGACTGATATCAGGTTCCTTCTCAACGAGGGCACATAGTAGGCTTTGTCAAGGCCAACGATGTGACTCTTTTTCCGATCATGATTTCTAACTGGATAGTTCCGTCTCCAAGAGCTTGGAGTTTTTGTGATACCCCCACTTTAATTTCTATTGGTTCTTGCAGTTCTTCATAGTTTGTAAAGTAATCGATTGAATCGGTAAAATGATTGGAGGCTCCACAGTCCATGATCCATGTATCAGGATTAGTGGGGAGTGTACTGGAAGAGCCGGTCAGTTTGTTCTCTAAATCGAATCGACTCGTTCCCAGAGTTAAGTGGAGAGCGACGAGAGAGCGACGATGTTTCCCAACTCATCGTGTTTGCCGAAGCTATTCAACCAAAACTCAGCGAATTTTCTTCGATTCACAGAAACCACTGAGTGGGCCGCGCGAGCTCCGAACCCGATCAAGGACGAAACTGTCCTCCAGGGTAAGATCCGTTGTTCGTCGATTGTCGGGTTTCGGCTGATTGATAGTTCTCTACTCAGCACTTCACGTATTTTATCACGATAACTGATTTGTCTTGTCAAGATGACCACGTTGGCGCACGGTTGTTCTCGAGGTTGATCAGACCTCTCACGATTGTAAAGTTGAATAGTGCGGTGGGTTCTTTTGATGCTTCTGACACCAGTTTGCGACGGATACCCCCGGAGCAGTGGCGTAGCGAGCCGGAGTGCCGCCCGGGGCGGTGATTCGAAATTTTCCGTTTTTTCACCGTGCTCGACGAAAATGCCGCCCCCCCCCCCCGCCAGATATTTTTTCCTCGAAAACACTCCGTTTTTTTGGGTGCAAAACCCTGAAATGCCGCCCCTGAAAGCTCCGTAGGGAGTGCCGCTCGGGGCGATCCGCCCCCCGCCCCCGCCTTACTACGCCACTACCCCGGAGCCTGGCTGTGAATACAGAACCTAATCGAAGAAAACTGGTTTTTGGTATCGAGCTGACTCGAAGAGCACCGCGCACTAACAATTGCTGGTAGGGACCCCGCCGCGTTGAGTCGAAGTCCCTCGGAGAGATTGTGGAGAAGAAGGAAGTTGGACCACCGGATGCGCTTCTTGAATCTTGAGTCTGGAATTGTTCCGCGATGATGTCGGAATTTGAGGAAAACCCTTGGCCGAGGGTACCTCGAGGACTCACACGTTATCTATGATTGTTATCAGCTGCCGCGCGCGGCTGTCTGTCTGTTGATATCTCTCTTTCTCTCATCCGACTCTCCAGCTCTCCCTCGTGGCTCGACGGTGGCGGCCCAGCGGCCCCGGCGGCCGCGTCGAGCAATGCTAAAGCCGTCTCCGCCAGTGCCGAGCCATCCCCGTTAGTGCGAGCGCTCCCAAGACCAGGCTTCATTGAAATAAGGAAAAATTATGAGATAACGTACTGAACAATCCTAGCCGACGAAGGTGCGGAGATTATTCTGGAATCGGACCTAATCTCTCACGGGGTGTCGGTGTATGCACTGATTGTGCAGTCGGTGTATTGTGTATTGGTGAAGTAGATTGGATATCCGCGACAGCCACCCTGTCCGTGACAACCACATTGATATCCGAGTGTCACGGACGGAGGTACCCGTCGCGTCTTCAGTTGCAGAAAACACATATCTCGCCCACTCAGTACACCAAGCAATCAGCACACAACATTCACGGAGAGGTCTAGTCGGAAGCGGGTAACAGGGTTTCTCATAGAATGTTCGATATCGCGGATAATCCGCTAATGTTGTCCAGGACAAGCTGTCCTATTTATAAAGCATCAATCAATATCAATAAAATCGCTGGCGTGCGCGCGCGCGTAGGTACGTCCCTTGGCGCAGCGCCGGCTTCTCGAGAACCGAGCGTCAGCTGGTTCACGTCAGCTGATTCTCTGTCAGCCGGTCGAGAGCAGAGAGGTGTTGAGAACACTGCGGCAGACACAGAGGCGACAGTCGCGGAGAAGTTGAAAAGTTGACAGTTGACAGACGGTCAACAACAACATCAGTTATCACGATAACGAAGCAGCCTCAGTGCTCCTCGAGGACTTCAGTGTCCGGGTTCAAATCCCGAGAGTGTTTATTCAAATCAGCGACGATCGGAGGTTCAATTTCCCCATCGTCGTCATCTCATCATCTCCAGGAGATTTCCACCCAGTTGGATATCTCCGGAAAACTGAATAGTTTAGCGCAGCGCACCCCGCGTGAATTCTACGGGATCAATTCTTGTGTCCCCATTCACCATCGAGGCTCAGAACCTCAATTAGCGAGGTGTGTCCGCCACACCGAGGATGAGTCGTTCACAATGAAGGTGAAAATAAGTCTTTTAGCTCCGTCTCGGGACCAGGATCTGATCGGGGATTTCGATTTCACCCTCCCTTGGATCATACCTCCCACTTTCTCTAGCGACAGACCTTTGATGAGCTTCGGGTGTGTGGTAGGCGAGGCATCCTTCTTGCTCGTTCCTAGTTCTGAGGTTTGGTCAAGTCAGCTAAACCCATTGTCGGGATGATGGCTCGCGGTGCGAAGTGGGAGTGAGGAATGCTCATATGTAGACCAGCAATGTGTACTTGCCCTTTTTCCTTTTCTGCGGAGTAAGCATTTTCGACCCCGAAGCCTTCGATGCTTGCTTCGACATTTCGTTGCGCGTTCGTTCTTCGTCGTTTCAATCGAGTGACAGTCTCGATTTCTCCGCCGTCTTTTATACGATTTTTTGCCTCGATTTTCGTGAAGTTTTTGAGAATTATGCGGCTCTGTGTTCTTGTCTCCACTAACATGCTTGCGATTTCTGTCCTCGATACAAGATGTCGTTGTTCCGGAAGACGGATGCCTATCTCACTTTGAGTACGTGGAAAATAGGGCGATGATAAGAGAAGTAGGCGATATATCTTCTGCTGCACAAATCCATATGTCGATAGAAGGTCAAATCGATACATGTGTTTCCGAGAGTCGTGTTTTCTGAGGGATCATATCCAGTTCGTAATGCGTAATGTTTGTTGAAATATTTCTCAATTTTCGAACGCTCATTTTCTTTCAAATTGAAGTCTCCCATCACAATCAGAGGTGTGACTACACCCCCTCCATTCCTCTTATATGAACATAACGACTCCGTCAGCAGTCTTTTCAGATCCCTGTAGGCTGTTCGTTGGTGCACGAAAAGTGCGATGAGAATGAGCTCTCTGTCTCCGTGTAGTCTCATTTTAATCGTACCCATGTCGTTTTTGTGTGACCCTTCCGGTGCATCTGATTGCTCAGCGTCGTTCAACCGATATGCTCCGGAAACAACGCTGTTTCGTTTGTAGATGCAAACTCCGCCACTTCTTTTCACACATGGACTGTTGAGAATCGGTGTGAAACCATGGAGTTCGACAGCGGGAGTTCCCGGTTTCGTCCATGTCTCTGTCAATGCCATGATGTCCACTCGCGATAAAAAAGGATCACTCAATATGTGCACCTGGACTCTGCACGTTGAGATTAAGCGCGACGGAGGATGATCCGTCTTCGGGAAACGAATCGAGAAACTCCGAGAGATCCGCGGTTATTGTCGGCAGGCGATTCGTAGTTAATCTTTGATATTCAATTTGAGTTGCCCTGATAGATGGGGTGGTGTAGTGTCAGAGTCTAACGGGTCTAGCGACGGTGGCGCCGCCAGTGTCATGTTCAATAAACTAGGAGCCGGCAGGAACATTCCGGCCTGACGCTCCGGACGTGGAACATACCGATCTCTATTGTGGTACCTAATTAGTAGAGCTTCGAAGTTCAGGCACTAAAAAGTCGAAGAGAAGGCAGGCAAAAAGGCACCGAAAAACACCGGAATAGGCACTGAAACTGGGCAAAATAGGCATAAAAGGCAGGTGTTTTGCCATCTAAATCACTTCGATTGGCTCCGATTCGGTGATCCCCACCCCAGTTGAGAGCTCTATCCAGTTTACGGAATGACACAACGCCACCCCGGGGGAGAATTCCGTTCAGTATTATCGCGCAACCACGTCCTGAACTCTCGAACACCATGATTTTTCCAGAGCACGCACCTCCCGACCGAGGGGTGTATCCGGATCAGTAGTGACAGGACTCAAGACCCGAAATTCCCGGCATTCTCCTTGAAATTTGACGCCGATCAAGCCAAACTAGGCATTTATGGCAGGGAAAACCGAAAATAGGAAAAATTGCCATCTTTCCGCTGAAAAAGGCAAAATTAGGCGTTTGAGGCATAATGCCTGAACTTCGCAGCTCTACCTAGTTAGCGACACTACAGGTGGTTTGAGTCCGCGCATGGTAGAACGTGAAGTCGTCATCGGTGTTAGTCAGGAAGAGCCCGTCCAGACTTGTCACTCTGCTCAGAGCCACGTAAACCAGTTGCTGTTTATGATTTTTGTGGTAGTCGTACACGATTTGGGCGGAAGTTCCGCCTTGCGATTTGTGTATTGTCAATGCATACGCGGGAGACAACGGAAATTGTAGGCGTCGACACTTTATGCTCTTCGTAATATTCACGTTGGCCGAAGGCAGCTCGATCGGGACCCATCTTTCATCAAGGATTCCGTGCTTACAATGGACGTGTGCTCTATATTTGATCTTCATCTTACGACCTATGTAATCGCTCTCGAATTCTAGTCAAATCCGTTTGGAGGAAGTTTCAGTACGTGAAGACTCGTAGTTTTCGATGTAACGCAGAGTGCCTATGGCTCCGTTGACAAGACCATCCTCTACATCGACGTTTGTGGTCAACATGTAGGGATACCCTTCGCGAAATCTGATAAGGTAAAGCAAATTGCCTGTATCTCTTGCTTTCATGCGATGTACTTTACTGACAGCCTCCCATCTCTCTGTTTCCGTGCTGTAACCCGTGTAAGAGTCAAGCGAGGTCACGTTATCGGTCGACCCACCGTCCGGGATGGCGTTCGTATTGTATTGCTCCACATCAGCGTTATTGAAGTATAGCCTCACCACATGTTTTGATAGATTCGAGTTGCACCAATCGTGCGATCTGAATCTCGATTGAATCATGAGTGTTTCTTCGGTGTTCAAATTTAGACCGGTTCCGATTTTCGTCAGAACGGAAGAAAATGCTCATCGCTCTGGCGGACGATTTTCTTCAATGGATAATAATCTAGAGCAGCGATTCTCAAACTCTTTTCTCCTACGTCTCCCTTCTGTCCCTTGGGGGGCGCTCGCGTCTCCCCCGAGGGTCATCGAATATCTGAGAATATAGACTTTCGACCGGGACATGCCACAGTGCCGTTTTATCCGTACATACGGCTTCATCCTTTAATTGTATAATGATCATAAGCTTGGAGTACAGAAGCAATGAGCGTGGTAAGCTTTCAGAAACTTGAAATCAGGTCGGCCGGGAATTCTCGGAAACCTAAGCGTCTCCCCTAGATTTCTCCCGCGTCTCGCCCAGGCGACGCGTCCCCCTAGTTTGAGAAACGCTGTCCTAAGGCATCGATACATGTTCTGGATTCCGTCTCGGACTCGGAGA